CCCCTGCCTCTCTCCCCAGAGCTACTCGGTGGGGCTGTACCTGGTGCGGCAGATGACCTCGGCAGAGCTGCTGCAGAGGTTGAAAACCATCGGCATCAAGCACCCGGAGCTCTGCAAAGCGCTGGGTGAGTGGCTCAGGAAGGGCCTGTGTGCAGCCTGCTGGGGAGCAACCACCACCATTCACAGCTCTGCCTCCCTGCAGCTGCACAAACCCCACTTTTTGTCTGAACAGACTGGCTGAGCTGTGTGTGAGCCGCGGGAGGTCACCCCAAAGCCGTGGTTCTGGTGTCTCTGTAGTTGGATTTAGGATTTGTGCCGGTGTCGTTGTGACTGGAAGGGCTTCATGCCTTCAGCTGAGTCAGTATGAGCAGCACTGACCCTCAGGATTTCCAAAGGAGGTTTCCTGGAGCGAGGGATCCCGGTGACAATGTCCTGCTGTCCCAGTCCCTGGGACTCCTTGGGGTGGCACTGGGATGTCACCAGCAGCACTTTGATATGCCTTGAGAGCTTCAGAGAAGAGATGGTCCCCAGAGATGCTTATCCCAAAACACTCAGGTAAATCCTCCTGGTGTGAGGCTTGTGTAAAACATTACTGGAAATGAGGGGAAATTACTTTTCCAAGGTGGACTCTGACTTGGAGCTCATGAGTGTGGAAGATTCCCAATTTTTCATGTTGCTGGACAAAACCTTCTCACTGTTCGTCTGCGTGGGAGAGCTGACCCCATGATCCTGATGGTCTTTAAAACTGTCCAGATCCTGGGAAACTCCTTCCCAAGGAAAAGAAACTGTCAGGGAATCCCAGGATAGCTTGGGTTGAGAAGGACCTTAAAGCCCATCCAGTGCCACCCCTGGCACGGCAGGGACACCTTCCACCATCCCGGGTTACTCCAGGCCCTGTCCAGCCTGGCCTTGGACATCCCAGGGATCCAGGGCAGCCACAGCTGCTCTGGGCACCCTGTGCCAGGGCCTGCCCACAGGGAGGAATTTCTCCTGCACATCTTAACCCAAATTTCCCTTCTTCAAGCCATTCCCCCTTATCCTGTCACCACAGTTCCTAATGAAGAGCCCCTTTCCAGCATCCCTGGAGCCCGTCCAGGGAATGCTGCTGGGAGGTCTCCACTCAACCTCCTCTTCTCCAGGCTGAACTTCCTCAGCCTGCCAGCCTTGGAGGTGGATGGTAGTTCACAGGGAAGGTGATGATTCCAGGTGTATCCAGCCTGCAGACACCTGGATTTTGGGCAGGGATCAGTTGTTTTGGTGACTTTAAATAAAACCCAATAAGAGCAATGTCTTTTTTTAGCTCCTTTGTGTTTTTGTGCTTGGAAGTTGTTTGGATATCCAGAACTGGCCAACCTGAGGAGATCTTAAACTTTGCTTTTCTAGCTCTGGTCTGCTCTGCAAATAATTCCCTGTCACTGGAGCTGCCCTTTGGCTTCAGTCACATCTAACTGCTGACTCATCTTGCTTTGCATAAAATTCGGTAGAACTTAATACAGGAACATCATCTGAGAACAGATTATGGCTTTGGATCCAGAATCCTGATCTGGACATCCTAGAAAATTCTCCTTCCCGTGTCTCCCAGTAATTGATGCACAGAGAAGGCTCTTACAAAGAACTTCATAAAAAATTAAGCTTGGATGAAAAGGCTCCTAATGTGAGGAAAACAAGCCCAAATCTTGTAATCTCCTGGGAATTTCACATCTGAGAAGTCAGTCTCTAATTAAAGCTGGGTGTTGCAGAGCTGCATGTAGCCTCATTGTCTGGAGACATCTTGTTATGATCTGAAAAGGTCAAAAGAAATGCTTGACTTGCTCCAAAGAAAAACGGTGATGGAAGTGTCAGAGGCAGTTGCAGACAGCAACAGTGGGAGCAGCAGCTCCTCCTCAGGACTTGGGGAGCAGTTCAAAGCTCGTTTTGTTGATTTTTGCACCTTGGTGTGGGACCTGCACACGTGGGACCTGCCCATCTGCTGCTTTCTTTGATTTCCCTGCTGCTCCTCTGGGTTTTCCTTTCAGGCCGCAGCAGCAGGGGCAGGATTCCTCCTTTCCTAACATCTGATTCTTCCCAGATCTCTGCTGGATGGCTGCTATGCCTGGTTGTGCGTGGCTGCCTTGCTCTGAGCTGTCTGCCTGGGTACCTTTGGGCCTGTCTGTGGTTCCTGTGGAATGTTCTGGAATAAAGGGGGTGGCCGGCGTAGAGGCTGAGGAGTGGCAGCCCAGCAGGGCTGAGAGGAGCTTGATAACCTGATGGGAAAAGGATGGGATGTGTTTTCCCCCTCAGTTTGACTCTCTGCTCACTTGTTGCTCTGAACTGGAAGTGCCAGAGGAGAGACATTTCCCCCATCCTCCCCATCAGGAGGGAATTAACCCCTCTGTGCCCAGGATGGAGCTGAATCCGTGTGCTCCTTCCCTCCCTGGCAGGGAGAACGATCCATACACACCCTGTAAAAAATACAACAACCCCAGGGCTGGGGCGAGCTGCTTCCCCTGTACTGCACAGTGTTGCCAAGGGCTGGGTTTTGTTAAATGTTGTGTCCTCTGCTCTCCCTGCAGTGAAAGAGAAGCTACGCCTGGACCCAGACAGTGAAATCGCCACCACCGGGGTCCGAGTGTCCCTCATCTGTCCGGTGAGACCCTGCAGGCTTGTCCTGGAGCTGGAGTTTGGCTTAGAAGGGAACTTAAAACCATCCAGTGCCATGGGCAGGGACACCTCCCGCTGTCCCTGGCTGCCCCAGCCTGGCCTTGGATCCAGGGGCAGCCACGGCTGCTCTGTGCCAGGGCCCACCACCCTCACAGCCAGGAAGTCCTGCCCGAAATTCCTTCTGGCAGTGGGAGCCATTCCCTGTGTCCTGTCCCTCCATCCCTTGTCCCAAGTCCCTCTCCAGCTCTCCTTTAGGCACTGGAACCCCAAATCTCCCAGTTTGCTTCAGAACCAAGGAGCTCCAGCTCTGTTTTAGTCCAGTTCTGTCAAGAACCCAAACCATGCTCCCAGACCAGCTTTGCAAACTCACAAGTGTTTTTCCTTCTGAGGGCATCTGGGGGTTCCTTGCCGGGTGTCCTGGCTGATTTCCTCTCTCTGGTCCCACAGCTGGTGAAGATGCGCCTGTCGGTGCCGTGCCGGGCCGAGACCTGTGCACACCTGCAGTGCTTTGATGCCGTCTTCTACCTACAGATGAATGAGAAAAAGCCCACATGGATGTGCCCTGTGTGTGACAAACCTGCCCCCTACGACCAGCTCATCATTGATGGGTGAGTTTTGCACCTCTCTGCCCTTTCCCCTTCCCCACTGGGTGCAGCATCCACCTCTTGGTTGAAGTTCACTTTGACACTGTTGAAAGTTTATTCTGTTGGTGCATGATATTTTGCTTTCGGTGTTTCTGGTGAGTTAGAGCAAGTGGGAATGTGCTGGGAGGGAACAAGCTTGTGGTGCAGCATTTTTGGGGTGAGTTTGGAAGCAGCTTTGTGCCCCCAAATGCTGGGAGCCTTCTGTGGACTGGGACCACCGACATCCTCGTGGTGCTGGCCAAGGACCGGTGGAGCAGCACACGTGGCTCCTGCCTGCTGGGAAATGATCTCCACCCTCGTGGCTGCGTGATTGGCCTCCACTGCAGGTTCCCTCAGGAGCAGGGAGAGTTCGGAGCGTGTTTGGGGTGGCTCCAGCTCCCCTGGCACAGGGAAGTGAGCAGACCAGTCTGTTCCCAGCCTCGCCGAGGCTTCCTGCAGCGTCGCTGCCTTTGTGGGCCCGGGGCAGATCCAGGAGCTGTGGCTTCCCAGGCAGCCTGGAGCAGCCTCAGCACAGATAACCTGTTTGCTTTGTCCCCTGGCCAACCCTGACAGGAAAATCCAGTTCCTTGGAGAACTCTGGCAGGGGGAGATGAAGGGGAAGCTGTGAGAGGTGGGATTGTGGAGCCCCCAGGGGTCAGCCATGCCCGTGTCCTGCACGAGGAGCAGCAGGATGTCCCTGGGGAAGGCACAGCAGACTTTTGTCCCTGCTCAGGGCTGGGTTTGATGCCGGTTCTGTTGGGTGAAGTCCTTCCCAGCTTCCCTGGAAGTGAGAGAGGGAAGCTGGCACTCAGCTGGTTGCTGGGAATCAAGAAAGAGCTGGAGGCTCCTGAGCAGGAAAGGAGGTGCTTGGTCGGGTCTGGGATCCTCAGGGCCTTGTCAGCTCTTCGGGAGCTGCAGCTTGGTGGTTGCTGTGCTGGTGATGGGATTGGCTGTGGGAACGATTCCTGCAGGAGCTGGGGAAAGCTGAGACTCTCCCAGCGGGGTGCCACAAAGTTTTCCTGACCTTGGGAGTCTTTCCACAAGTTCTCCTTCCTCCTGAAGGAAAGTGCTCAAGTCCAGGCAGAGCAGCATTTCCAAATGAACATCCCAGGCAAACGGTGGGACACAGGGAATAAAGCAAGCCCCCAGTTTCTCTGGAATCAGGGCCTCATTCCAGGTGTATTTTCATGGTGTTCCTGTTGCAGGAATGTTGTTCTGGTGGCTATTGTGGAGATTTGGGAAATAAAACTAGGAAGGAAGGGAAGTGCTGCTTGTTGGACTGCTGAGTTCCTAAAGCCAAAGGATACCTCACCTTTTGCCAAAGCCTTTCTGGGAATGTCCCTGGGAATGTCCCATGGGATGGGGCAGCAGCCACCTGCCTGGAAGCAGTGCCTGGGAAACTGGGGGAAGAGGCAAAACTCTCTTTAATTGCAGCTAATTAAGCTGGTAGTTGATGCTTTGGGTGCGTGGACAGGAAGGGCTGGGATGGATTTGCACCGTCACAACCTGCGCTGGTTTTACGGGGAATAAAGTCCGTGACTCCGAGGGCTCCGAGCTCAGGAGGCAGCAGCAGATTCCTTTTGGATCCAGGGTCAGTGCACACACCCTGCTGACTGCCAGGGGTGTGACAGCTCCTCCTGTCCCCTCTGCAGGCTCCTGTCCAAGATCCTGACAGAATGTGAAGATGCAGATGAGATCGAGTACCTGGTGGATGGCTCCTGGTGCCCCATCCGAGCCGAGAAGGAGCGGAGCTGCAGCCCTCAGTGTCCAATCCTGGTTCTAGGTGAGTGTCCCTGGGGAAAAAAAAGGGCTGGAAACCCCTGGAGGAAATCACAGAATTCCAGAATGGTTTGTGTTGGAAGGGACCTGCAGGAGCATCCAGTCCCACCCCCTGCTGTGGGCAGGGACACCTTCCACTGTCCCAGGTTACTCCAAGCCCTGTCCAGCCTGGCCTTGGGCACTTCCAGGAATTCAGGGGCAGCCACAGCTGCCTCTGGGCACCCTCACAAGGAAGAATTTCTCCCCAGTATTTCCTCTGGCTGTGGAAGCCATTCCCTGTGTGCTGTCCCTCCATCCCTTGTCCCAAATCCCTCTGCAGCTCTCCTGGAGCCCCTTTAGATTCTGGAAGTGGCTCTGGAGCCTTGTCCAGGCTGAGCAGCCAGGAGTGTTGGATCGTTCCCTGAGGTGGACAGGGCTGGTTTCACCTCCTGCTCCCCGTGCCAGGTTCCTCGGAGGTGAACGGGCTCCTGGCCACTCCCAACGGCACCGGCGAGAACGGCAAAGCCCCGGCAGATGTTGTGGATTTAACACTGGACAGCTCCTCCTCGGAGGAGGACGAGGAGGAGGACGAGGAGGAGGATGATGACGATGAGGGACCCCAGCCCAAACGACGCTGCTCTTACGAGAAAGGTTTAGTCTCTGCCTGCTGACTGCAGCCACGGCTCGGAATTCCCAACGGACAGACTTGAATACTCTGGTGCTTATTAAACTGGAGGAGGGGGAGAACGTCCTCTCCCGCCTCATCTCCCTAAAAAAAAAAAATCCTGTGACTTTCCTATTCCAAATTACTCATTAAAACGAGAGAAAAAAGAAAAAAAAAAAACAAAAAAC